AATTGTGTTGATTTGAACTGTACGACTTGATGACTGAACTTCAAAAACCTTGAATAGAAGGCGAAATGAAAGTAGCTCAAGTACTTCATCAACCTCTCTTCAATCTCCTCCACCTCTTCTGCCTCAAGCTTACCGACAACGTCCACCTCTTCCTGATCAACGAACCGATCCTCTCACCCAAAGTCAAACACCGAGTGCAGAGAAAGTGGAACACGCGTATTAAATGGCGCAAAAAGACTGAGATTACAAACTTCGAGGTGGAACTGTTGAGATCTTCAGTGTTGCAGCTTGAATTAAAACAGAGACAGACGGTGGATCAGAGTCCGCAAGAGGGGAGGTGGAAACGAACGACGGAATAAGGCGAAACAGGCTAATGTTTGATTTCATCTTGATGATAATGTGCTTTTCTTAGTTGATTGCTTGATTCTCAACTGTTCTTTTGATGGTGTGATGAATGAATGCGAATTACTATTTACTTGTTATTTGTCTGAATCCTTACTCGTTATACTATCATGATACATGTCCGTTGATGCTTGAACACAGGTACTGTGTTGTGATCAGTTCGTATTCCACAAGGCTGTTCAGAACATATAACTCCCTATCCCTTTATTCAACCACGTCGAAAAAAAGAATATACCAACATCCATCTCGCAGATTGATAATAAATACCCCACGAATCCCCCCCTTTCCAAGTCTTTGGATCACCGCGGGTATATTCCACCGCCATTTCTCACAGACTATCGCAAGCTTTCACTTACGACCGCCAATATGCCTACCCAGACACCTTCCGAAACCGCTCCCAGAGGAACAGAACCTCCGAAGCCCAAAAGCACAGTCAGCTACACACCTGTTCCACAACAGGATATGATCATCGGCGAGCAAAAGCCAACTTTGGATGAGTCCCTTCACCATCTCGTCGCAGCTACAGAGGGATTGCGCCGCTTTCCTCCTCAGTCTGCTGCTACCAGCCCTTCATCTACTGACTCATGGAACCACTACGATACTGACCCCGACGAAGATGATATATCTGATACTGACACATGGCCAGGCAGAAAAATAGATAGCCACGTTGGCATTCGCCAACTAACCCGCTGGCTAAACCACCACAAAACCTCCGAACTAGATTTTTACTACAACTCAATCATCCAGCACATTGAATGCCAAGACATCCAACTTGGCCTCGTTTATGGAATCATAGCTTCTTCCGATGGCTTGCCTGATGAAGAGAAGTGGCCTCCAAATTGGAACAAGCTTTATCCTGTCATGCAATGGATCACGAACCATCTTGTTGCTGCCGTTCAGAGTGTTCCTGAGAGTTAGAGAGAAAATTTTACGAAGAAGGGGGAGCAGAAGATGCTTGAGGATGGTATTGTGAGGGATGAGTTTGATGGTGATGGTTCCAAGGGTAAGTCAGTTGAGGTGGTTGAGCAGCATCAGTCCCTTGGAAAGATTCTCGACCCTGAGTTTAGCACGCAGAGACCCCGGCGACAAGTCCGAGAGACACCTGTTGATCGGCCACCTGCAAGGCTTCCAAACTCTGAGTCTGGTACTCAGACAAAGGACCGCAAATGGCCAACTAACGCGGAATTCCGTCAAATTCAGCACAATATGCGACGAAATGAAGCACGTTACGTCGAAAAGAGATTCGGGATGAAGGTTCTCTGGGATGCCAATGGACAACATCTACCCCTGGTGTGCAGGCTGGGACATATACGCTGAACGAGTCCAATTGTTCGAAGTGACTAGTCCGATGAGTTCACGATCAGGCTCTGAACTAACATTAGTTACAACGAACGTCTATACATCGTTCTTGGCTTTAAGGAGTTGAGCATTAAATGCTACGATTGTCCATCGTGTTGTTTTGATCTGTATGCCTCAAGGGCTTGGTTACTTAAAATTCTCACGTAGCATGCTCTTCGGACATCTAAGCTGCGTCTCTATTGTGAACTACATAAACTGGCAGCTACTAACATCAATAGACACGTGATCCCAATTCGCGACAGGTGCCCAGCTTAGCTTTCCTGATCTAAAGTCCACAATGTCTGTACGAATTCCACAGCGCCTGGGTATTGACCGGCCATTCCCCTTTATACGCCAACGCAAAAGTACAAAGGAAATAAACAAAGTACAAGGGTCGTTCCATCTGATCCCTCGCCAATTTCGCGTCGTATCAAAACTCATGCTCATCTGTCAAGTCCAAGCGTCAGTCAAAGTTCAAGATCGTGATATATAGGCGCCTGTTGGACTTATCAAGGCTGAGTAGCAGTGAGACTGTTCTCTTCCTCCTGAGCGTCGATCTAAAGGATAAGAGATATCCTTCAAGTTGATCCAAGATTCGGTTTCGCATGATCACTTGGTTTTCTTTTCCTTGGGTGCTTCTTGTATGCCATACATTTCTTTCTAGGCGTCGAGCACTTCGGATGGCTGGACTTCTTCGGACCAGTCCTTCTCGGTCTCTCTCATGAACACTTCCTTGCTTCGAAGTTGCTTGTAAGAGAGGCAGGTCTTGATGTCCCCAGTGGACATCTTCATCCACTAGGTGTGGAATGTGACCCTAGCTGTCGTGCGTCCCTCTCCATGGCCCCTTGTCCAGACTCCGACATCGAGACTAGGTACCGCGAACCAATTCGTGGTAGCCGCGGAGAGGTAGACCTTGGCCTCACGGTTGATGTCCTTAGGTTTCAATGCTGGCATGTTCGGCGTTTGGGATCAAAGGTACACAGGTGTTTGGTGTGGTGAAATCGAGTTGGCAAAGAGTTGTGTTGAGATGATTCTTCTGTCAGGAAGGCCTGAAGGAGACGAGAGAGTCATCTTGGCCAATGTACATAGCTACAGCAGTGACAATGTTTGCAGCAGTGCCAGCTGTTACAGCAGTGACAGTTCGAGTCCATGGCAGTGACAGTTCGAGTCCATGGCAGTGACCCAGTTGCAGTAACACAAGTGCAGAACATGGATGCAGTTCCACAATAGCGGTTGTGGCACTGCACTGCCAGCTTAAGAATATACCTTTGTGCCTCTCTAGTGCCCATTTCCCGCCTAACTCAACTCTCCTCCTGCAACATTTTTCGCATCTGAGTCACCACACCAAAAAGCAGCAGCCAACACAACAAACCGCCCGCGACCTTCCATTTTATCACCGCCTCAAGAAACTCAACAGCCATGGAGCGCGCGAACGAATCCGGTAAGACCCTCTGGCCAGTACATCAATCAGCTCACTCACAGTATCTAGGTTCGTGCAAAGAGATGCCCGAATCGATCATCTCCGGATACCAGGCTGGCGCGTCGCTCAACCTCGAAGTCCTCGCTAGTCCCAGCCCTTCAATTCCCATCCTCCCATCAATATCGAACCTCGCTGTCAAGATCGAGAAGATCCTCTCAGTAACCATGGCCCCCGTGATGCTCGTCGCATTCGACACCCCTGCCGGCTCAAAACGTGCGGTTCTCAAGCTGTTCGACCGACGCTTGGGGTCCTCGCTGCGAAGGGATCCCGATGGACAACACATTCCCTGTCGCGTCGAAGATGAGGAGGCTTTCAAGGCGTTTGTGCGCCGAGAACAGCCTGTGCCTTTTCTCCGAAACAAAGAGGAACGGATGAAAGAGGAAGAGGGACTCGAACTACTGTCATTCCTGGGAGCCGCAGCCTGGTTGGAAGCGCCGGAAGAGCCAAAGGGACAAGCAAAGTTTGAACTTGAACTTTGGCATGAGTCTTACGAGTTTCACCAGATGGAGGTAAGGGCATACAATCACCTACAAGACCTCCAAGGCATCGTCATTCCTCGCATGTATGCATCTGTGCGACTTCCTTGCACAGAACAGTATGGCAACCCCAGGATGGCTTATTTCTCCAGTCCCTACGGCATCCTCCTTGAGTATATCGACGGAGGAAGTCTCTTTGACAATCCTGACAGTATGGTTTCTCCAGTTGGATTAACGGAGCTTGTGCAACGCGCCGTCAATGGAGCTTATCAGATCAACGAACGCGGTCTCATTCTCAACGACAGTGGGCCGCGCAATGTAGCAGTCGACAAGCTGCTCAACAAGCCATACATCATCGATCTTGCGCAATGCACCTTCAAGGAAGACTTTTTTGATGAGGAAGACCTTGACGACCTTGAAGAGGGAACGACTCTTGAAGATGCTTGGTTGGAGATGGTCCGGAGCGAAGCCAATCCATCTTCTATTGGCTGTGTCATGAAGAGGAGGTTGGAGGTTGACCATAGTATCAAGATCGAGGTAACCTTTCCGGATATGAGAAAGATTATGGAGTACAATTCCCTCGTCACTACTGACCCTCGTCGAGTGAGGAGTTACTCAACCTGTGCGGGTCCGTCAACCATGATCAACCGCGGCCTTGGCAACGATCATCACGTCACCACGGGTTTCGGCACCGAAATCTGGCTGAGAATGTGGGAGGCATTTCGCCTGGCAGTCTCTTGAGGTACAACAACTGTGGCGAGATTGTTTAGTTGGATCAGGGCAAGATTGGTTCGGTCGCTAAGAAGGGTTATACACAGCTAGGTATTGGGGTCATGTGTATTGAAGCGATGGTCTCTATTGCTAGCTTGGACTGGAGTTCCAATGAATACACCAATCATCTTACATACTTTACCTTCGACTCGCTTATCTCTGTCTAACGAACGCCTGAAGTATAAGCGGCAAGTCCATTGGGCTAGTCCCGGGCGCTGGTAGCGTCGAGCTGGGAGGTGGGGACAAGACATCATAAGTGAAGGCGGCAGTGATTAAGTTGCAGCAAACGGGATTTTGAGGATCTACGATATGAGGCCAATGCCGAGATTGAGTTCAGTTGGTGGATTGAGTTCGGAGTGGAACGAGGACGGAGCTGGAGCACTAGGAGGTGATAAGCTTGAGGATCACCTAGGGCTAAGCAGAGCAAGAAATGTCGGTAGTATCCCAAGATACCAAGAACAGAGAAGAAGGCAGTGTGGTAGCAATCAATACAGAGAAAGTAAACGAACAAGAACAGGACCGAAGAACAATGATGACGGAGGAGAAGAACAGAACTGAAAGACAGCAGTGCGGAAGTTGGGGCCAATCTAGCGCCACAGCAGCCCCATATTTCAGTTGCTTGTCCCCCATCGATTAGTGAGGTTACAGCGACTCTCCAGGTACTGGATCTTGTCCCTGACGCCGCAGCCAATCAAAATGTCGTATGCTTACGCTAACCTCGCTAGTCGCCGGTAAAACGACCCCCCC